GGAGAGTAGCAGTGACATCATCACTGTACTGTACATCCTGTGTAGAGAGCAGAGCTGTGAGAGAGGTCCTTGTATTACAGTCTGCAAAAAACTACAGGAGGGGGCTGAGACAAGGCTAATCGGCCTGCACAAGGAGAGAGAACAGCAGTGACCTGGTCTTTATTACAGGAAGCTCCTACACAGAGGAAAGTCTCACACTGGATTACTGCATAGATCTGGAAGAAATACACCAAGCACACCAATATTCCAGTTGGAATACACATGGCTCATATTTAGACAATATGTACTTATCATGGTATAGTGCTACCCTTTGAGAACCGCTGCACAGCCAGGAAACACGCATTTCCAGACATGAGAAACAGTCCATGGGCTTGGTTTTTTTTGGATTTATTAGGGAATGAGGACAGGTTCCTTCTCTAGCACACTGGAAAAATGACAGATATTTGACTGTGTTCTAGTCATATTCACAACAATCTTTAGCAAGATAAGTGACAACTTGTAGGAGCTCTCGGTCAACTTTGTGAACAAAATGCCAGCCCACCTGGCTACGGTATTTGATCCTAGGACAAGGGATTGGGTAAGCATTAGACCGTTCCCTGAAGACTTGCTAAGAACTTGCATCTAGCAGACTTCTACCTTAAAGGCCCTGGGGGTGTAAAGGTCCACACACTGTCCTTGTACTGCAACTGTGGATAGAACTGCTTTCAGGCCTTCCGCTGGGCTGGTTCTTTCCCAGGCTTTGCAGGCTGTCCTTTACCCAGTGAATTGCAGGGAAGTGGAGCTTATATTTTATTCACTTGCAATTGCTAAGAAAAAATAGACTTCTTCAGGAAGAGCCAATACCCTAGAACAGCCCACTCCCTCCCTGCATGTCATAGACCGCTCCTCTTTTTTTATAGGGTCTAATTACTGTTTGTGCTGTTCCAGCTCCTCTGCTCCTCTGCTGAATACATAACCTTTTTTGTAGCTGCTGGGAAGGGAGAGAAGGGTAATACTATAAGGCAGTGGTCTCCAAACTGCGGTCTGGGGCCTGATGCGGCCCTTTGCTTGCTTTTATCTGGCCCTTGGGGCACTATTTAATCCACTGACACCAACGAATTCTTCCCAGTGATACCAACAATGGGGCACAATTCCAACCAATGACGCCAACGATGGGGCACAGTTCATCCCAATGATACCAAGAATGGAGCCCAATGACATCAATGATAGGGCACAATTTCTCCCAATGACACCATCAATGGGGCACAATTCTTCTCACTAACACCAAAGATGGGGCATTGTTTATTCCCACTGATGCTGGGACATTTTCCGGTCCGGCCCCCCCCTAAAGTCTGAAGGACAGTAAACTGGCCCTTTGCTTAGAAAGTTTGGAGACCCCTGCTATAGGGTGTCACTTGAATGACAGCTTTGAGTTTGCTGGGGCTGTTGATGTCACATTCAACAAGGTGACACCCAGCGGCAGTCTCAAGCCTTTTGGATGTCCACACAAGGGAGGCTTTTACAGGTAAAAAATGTGTATAAAACACATTATATGAACATATAATCTTATGGGGAGATTTGTTGAAATACATGGTCTGGTGATAAGGTCTCTTTAATAAATTTGGTCAATTGTTTCTCTCCATTATAGGAGCATGTCACAGAAAACAAACATCTTAGAATGATCAGCATTCCAATAAAGAGTGATTACTGCCCTTCCTGTGGCTGTCTTTAGGCTCCTGCTTGTCCAGAGTACAACAGACAAAGAGAACATACCATGATAATACAATTACCTATCTAGAGAAGACCTGGGATCTCCAGCTCATCGCAGATGACTGTCCATACATATCATTGTCGTACATATTCCAGGAGGCACTTCCATTGCTAAATGTTTCCACTAAGCAGTCAATCACAGGGGGATCTGGAAAACCTCATTGTGTAGGAAGCAGGAAAACACAAAAGAGACTTTTGCAGATTAGCACAACTGGAGACATAAAGATTTATAGAAGCGTCTTTGTTCACCAACTCCAAACTGGCTGTTTTTCTTTGTTTCATCTTAAATGACTTAAAACAGCAGTTTGTAATCAGTTAACCCCTGTGATAGCAGTAGTGTAAAGCTGCATTTGGACATGAGACCATCTATCGCTTGCACAGGAGCGCTCATGCCTCCCACAAGGAAAGCAGTCCATGGGCTTGGAAGGATAGCTATACCTCAGGTCAATGGAGAAGGGAAGGGGGGGGGCAGTGATGGGAGCAAAAAAGGCCATGGGTTGCTTAACAGGGAAATAACACAGAAGCAGGGGTGCACTGACCATTTGGAAACTCGGGCACTGCCCGAGGGCCCAGGGTCAGTAGGGGGCCCCATGAGATGCCCCTGGTACCTTTTTCATAGGCGTTTTTGAGTTTGGTCAAGGACACAGGGGCCCCATGATCCCCTATTGCCCGGGGGCCCCATGAGTTCTCAGTCCGCCCCTGCACAGAAGTTTAAATGGGATCCTAACCTTCCCAAATGTTTCCCTGACACTTGATGGGGTTGGAGGCCTTCCATTTACATGAGGCTGTTGTCTAAGTGACCTAATGGATAGTTCATGTGATTAAAAGTACCCATACATGTACCCCTATACACATATCCGCGTTCCTGCGGTCCGCGTTTTACACGGGCACGAGAGCCCATTCATTTGAATGGACTCCCGTGCCCTGGGACACGCAGGGAAGAAGTCCCTGCACTTCTTCTGAAAACGCAGCCTGCATGAGAACCTCGGTTCCCAGTGTGGTTGCGATTTCCAGTGCGGGTGGCGTGCCATTAGAATTAAATACACCCGCCCGCGGGTCCGCATTCCTCTGTGCGGGTGGTGCAGCTACATGGATTTTTGTGCGGATACGCAGCGCCACCAACTGCACATATGTGAACCTAGCCTTAGAGTATGCATTTCTGAATATAGTTGAAGCTTAGTTACAAAAAAAAACCCCAAAAACTTAATTTTTCTATAGCTTTAGTTACATTACTTCCCTCTAATAAAGTATGTCCTTCGATTTGCAGGCTGCTGGATTCTACAGAAATCTTCACTGCAAGGCTGCCCTGTCCTCTTCCTGCTGCTGAATGTTCGGCACTGTGGTAGGTAACAGCTTTGGATCTCCAGGCTCCGCTGCACTAAAGATGATGTGGCAGAGACACCCCCATCCACCCTCTCCTCCATTGAGAAAAGTTCTTTCACTGATTATAATGCCTGTAATAAGATCCGTGAATGAGGAAGAGTCTAATCAGTCACCGGATTCTCTCCTGCATTCAAAGATTATGTTACAAGCTGTGTAAAGTTTTTTTTAAAGTTTTTTTCCTCAAAGGAATGGGAGGAAGGAGAGGCATGTCCTTGCTGGATCATTTTTAGTGCAGCGGAGCCTGAAGACCCAAACCTGTCAACCACTTCACCGCTGGATGTTCAGTAAAGATTTCTACATAGTAGTAAAGATTTCTACAGAATCCAGCAGCCTAAACATTATAGGACACACTTCATTACAGGTAACTAATGTATCTAAAGGTGTTTTTAATGTGTTACTAAACCCACCACACTAAAATCAGTCTGTATATGCAGTAAAGCATGCTTGTTATACTCACTGTGGAACCTAAGGGGTTAATCCTCTGCATTGTGTAAAAAGGCTGTTTGATCCTGACTTCTTTGACCCTCCCCTTCTTCCAGTGTTATCTCCTGATAAGACATATGGAGACACTCTGCACATGCTCAGTTTGGTGTGTATTGCTAGAAAGGTTTTTTTTTTTTTTTGGCTTAGGAGAGTGCATGTGATTAGCACAGAGCCAATCAGCACTGTCCGGACAGAGGTCAGGGGTTCTGCATCCTCCTAAAGCAGAAAGAAAACTCCTCCTACAACCAGTGATTGGCTGAACACTGATAGAAGTCACAAGACTGCTCTAACTGCTGATGGGAAAAGGTATTTAGTAGTTTATATTATTACACAAAATGCATTTCCATGTTGTGTGTACTGTGGGAGACCAGATATAGTGAATGCAGGGTCCTGGGTTTAGTAACACTTTAAATAACAACCTGTACTTACAGGATGTCTTCAGTCGTCTGGATTAAATGATGCTGGATGGACCCTGTCTGTGCAAAGTGTATCAGCACAGCCACATGTAGTCCCCTTCCCAGGCACAAATGACATGGTTAGGGATGAGCGAACTGGGCAAATACACTGAAAGTCAATGGGCGGTGAATCTTATATTTTTTCTGGTCTCTTTGAAGGTTAATTTGCAAGCTTTTGTTAACAAAAAGCCATGGATAGCTGGGCACTGCCACATGGGACATACCAGCTCAAAAATATTTTTAAAAAATACAGTTTAGTGGAGAAATGGTCTTTAGTGTGACTCAGAGACAACAATGAAAAACAAAATATTTTAAATAACATGCTTGGGGAGAAATTAAAGCTGCACGTAAGGTTAAAAAAAAAATAGTAAAACAAGTGGGATTCCCCTTAAAATGCATACCTGACCCTTATCCTGGCATGCAGCCTTGTTGGCTTGGAAATGGTGGGGCAGTGAGCATACAGGGAGCTTGAAATTCACCCTGTCACCATGTTCAGAGACAAGAACCACATCCTGTCCACAAGAATGGATTTTGAGTTTGCAGGGTTTGGGGCTCATCAAAATCTGGAAGTTCCTTTTATAATATCCAAATCCACCCCCACCCCCCCCCAGCTCTAATTAAGCCAGCTGGGAAACATGGGCAACATTTAAAAGACTAAAATTACATTAATGTGATAAAGTCTGCAGTGTATGATGGGTTTAAGTCTTATTAAGGCTGGCTGATGTGGTGCAGAATTCGCTGCGTTTTCTGTGCAAATTCTGCACCGCATCAGAATTGCACCCCAATCATTCAAACCGATGCAGGTGTATATGTTAAGTTAACAACACACTGTAATCGGTCCTCAAAACGCAGTGTGATGTGCAGAATCGTATCGTATCGGTGTGAATACCCATGTGACCCGATTCTAGTGTGGACCCAAAAAAGGGTCCTGCACAGGGGTGGACTGACCATTTGGAAAGTCGGGCACTGCCCAAGGGCCTGGGGTCAGTAGGGGCCCCATGAGATGCCCCTGGTACCTTTTTCATAGGCTTTTTGGAGTTTGGGCAAGGACACAGGGGCCCCATGATCCCCTACTGCCCGGGGGCCCCATGAGTTGTCAGTCCGCCCCTGGTCCTGCACCTTTTTGGTGCAGGTGCGGTTCGATTTGAGCCATACATAATGTATGGTTCCAATCGCAACGCACACAAATCACATGTGATTTGCACAGGAATGTGGTGCGAATCCTGTGTGAATCACACGCGATGTACCGCACCGTATTAGTGTGATCTAGCCTTAAAGTGCAACTGCACTTCAAAGTAGAATTACATGAATTTTTTTTCTTTTTTGTTTCTATTTTTTTAATTTTGTTTTATTTTAACCCCACCCCCCACTGTCATTCCAGCGTGGGACTGAATGACATATACCTGGTCCTGCAGCCTCCTGGGATATTTATATCACATCATCCAGAAGGCTGCAGGATCAGCACATATAGCGACCGGGAGAGCAACCTGCAGGACGGGCTGGAGGGGGCAGGTCTGGTGCATCACTGGAGCCAGCTGCCTATACCTGGAAGAAGCAGCAAGCAGAGGAGGACCAAGATGGCGGCATGGGACCCACTGTGTAGCACCCAAACAGCAGATCGCAGAGGGACAGAGCTGGATTTTCTATGCGGATTATTATGTGCTCTGAAGCGCATTACAGCACTACAGGTAAGTGAGAAAAAAAAACATAGGGGGTGGGGGGAGCTGAGAACCTCTTGGAGCCTAACTACAACTAAGGTATTAGTGTAGTGGGGAACAGTTAGAACCTTTGTCAGGTCTTCCTGTCTGGTTCCCTATGGGAAGATTTCCATTCACTTGTCCAGGTAAAAGGCATCAGACCAATTCGGAAATGACCACCAGAAATATCCTCTTTGGGAACAAAGACAGCAATAGAAAAAATCTCACAGAGCTTTACACCCTTTAAAACTCAACAAAAGGAAACATCTTGCCTGGATCTTGGCTTTAGTATCAAACTATCAAGAAATTATTGGCAGCATTTCCCCCTTTATATTATGTAATGTGATATTGGTCAATGTATAAGAAACAACTTATACATTTTTAGGCTGCGGTTCTCCTTAGAGTCCCATAACACTTATAGAATCCAAAAGTGGAAAATTGTGGTTCAAGTGGTTTGTTAAAGACCTGACGTGGCAGATTTTTACAGACAGAAAGGAGACAGGTCAGGAAATCTATTATAGAAAAAAGGATAAAAAAGAAATAAGTATGTAACATTAAAGTATAAACCTAAGTTCAGCCAAAACTTTATTCTAACTTTCCGCCATATCTTTTTCTGCTTCAAAAAACTTTATTACAGTTTGGATGCATTCACAAGAACAAGTGAAAGCACAAAGCTCTTGGCCAGACTCTTCTTCTCCCCGACATATTTTTTCTCCAATAGGGGCTTAGTCCAGTATCAATCCAGTAAGGAGGAGAAGAACGGACCCCACTAATTCTGAACCCACAGTCGGGAAGTGAACAAGAAGACTTCCCCCCACAGTCGGGAAGTGACCAGAGTGACACACTTTGTTGGCATTTTTTTTTGGGGGGGGGGAATTAGAACCCCTGTTGGGTTTTAATGCTGTCTGAAGTTCCATTAGAGAGGTTTCCCCTCACTTCCTGCTCCAGTGACAACAGTTTTACCAAAGAGGAAAGGAAGGAAAATCTGCAACAGGGACACAAATAAAAAAAACAGAGATTGAAATCTGATGTATGTTCTTGCCTTCCCCCTTTCTGTTAAAAAAAAAGCCTTTTGATTTCTGTCTGTGTTTCTGATGAAGAGTTACCCAAACATGGATGTCCTTGTGCAGCCACTTCTTTCTTTTAGGGTGACAACGCTCTGTCATTGTTGTTACAAGGCAATTCAATAAAGCAGAGCTTACATACAGGAAGGTGTGCTTCCTTGGGCATGTACCCATAGGGCTTCCCAGTGGTGATTTCCCTGACAGGGTGCTGTCCTGTGCAGTGCTCTGTGCAGATCAAAAAAGCTGTAAAGGCTTATGGCGATCTTTCTTGGATCTCAAGCCAGCTCTAGAGGCATCTGTGAGCATCTCTGCAGTGTCACTCGGGCTCCACCCATATAACCTAGCAGGGGCTACACAGAATCACCTATGTGTCCAAGATGGCCACCCAGATCTTGAGAGAGCTCTGTCTCCAATGAGACACAGGCTCTCCCAAGATGGCGCTTGGAGTTCCTGGCATAAGACACATTGATCCTATGCCAGGCTCTCCTCTAGCATCAACTGTAATACTGAACAATAGTGGTCATTTGACCGATTTATGTACCACTGACGTAGAAAGTGATTTAGTGATCCTGCAATAACTGCATCACCTCTTAGTCCTCATGTACACTGGACATTTTGATAACGCTGGTAACGTTAGCTGTGTAAAGTCACGTTAAAAACATCAGTTTTTCAGCTTTGTTTTAGCGTTTAGCCACGTTTTTCTGTGTTTTTTTTTACAAAAAAAAAATTGGGTGGGTCAAAAAAATCCAAAAACACTGGTTTGCGGCATTTTTCTGCGTTAGAGCATTTTTACAGCTAAAAAACTCCTATAGAAACCCTCTAGTCCTGGGTTTTTTTCCGGTCAAAAAAAGACCTGGCCTAAAAACGTTGATTACAGTCTAAGCGCGTATGGACACATAGGATAACATGCTGGGGGATACTCGCTGTAGAAAAAAACCTCAAAAGCCAAAAACAACAGCTGTAAAAATGTCAAGTGTGCATGACTAGCAACTACACTAACACCTACCTACAAGTGGCTGCAAAGCAGCGCTGAGAGGCAAAACTTGTTTTTGTAGCGGGAACCTGGGGGTAAGCCGTTCCAGCACCTCCAGACACTAAGTCTAGGTTCACATCTATGCATTTTCTGCTGTGTTGTGTAGAAACACACAACAGTCCATTTAACATGATTTCCTATGGGACATGTTCACATCTCCGTGTTTTCACCTGCTGCATTTTTTGGAAAGGGTCAGGGACTTTTTTAAACGCAAAACGTTGCATCTTTGGTTCTATAGACTTAAATGGAGATGCTGCAGAAAAGCATGTAGTGCGTTTTTATGCATTTTTGATGCGTTTTATTCTGCCCAGTAACAAGTTGAAAAAAAAAAACACAAAACGCATGTGCAAAAACACAAAATGCACTGCAAAAAGCACTGAAGAAACGGATCATATGCAAACGGCATAGGTGTGAACCTAGTCTAAATGTATGTACTGCCAAGAGAAGCTGGGGTGTTCTGGAGGGTCTATTAATGCTGGCCACTAGGGGATTTAGTGAATCTATTGTCCCGGGGGGGGGGGGGGGGGGGGGGGTACTGTTGCTGTGGAGTCTAGTGTGGTTGGTGGGGTTGCTGGGGGGGTTGATTGTTGCTTGGAGGAATCTACTTTTGTAAGGTAGGGAGACTATTGTTGCTGGATGCTATGGGATCTATTGTTCTTGTGGGAGTCTTATGATGCTGGTGAGTGGTCTGTTGTTGCTGGGGGGGTCTATTGTTGCTGCTGGGAGATCTGTTGTTCCAGGTGGGGTCTAATGCCAGTGGTGGAGGGTCTGTTGTTTCTGGGGGGGAGGTCTGTTGTTGTCAGAGGAATCTATTGTTGCTGGCTTTATGGGATCTATATTACTACCTTTTTTATTATCGTTAACAATTTCCATACAAACTACTTGTCACCACAAAATGATACTTGTTTCTGTATTCTCTAAAAGGGGCGGTACTGGGATGTGGGTTTGGGGCGGAGACAAAGGAGTGTGCTTGGAGGTGGATAGGAGGTGAAACCAAGGATGGTGTTTGGCGGCAGGTAGGGGTGGAGACAAGGGAGGGTGCTCGGAGGTGGGAAGGCGGTGAAACTAAGGATGGTGTTTGGCAGCAGGTAGGGGTGGAGACAAGGGAGGGTGCTCGGAGGTGGGAAGGCGGTGAAACTAAGGATGGTGTTTGGCAGCAGGTAGGGGTGGAGACAAGGGAGGGTGCTCGGAGGTGGGTAGGGGGTGAAACCAATGATGGTGTTTGGTAGCAGGTAGGGGTGGAGATGAGAGGGTGCTCAGAGTTGGGTAGGTGGTGAAACCAATGATGGTGTTCGGCGGCAGGTAGAGTTGGAGACAAGAGAGGGTGCTCGGAGATGGGTAGGGGTGAAACCAATGATGGTGTTCACTGGCAGGTAGGGGTGGAGACAAGGGAGGGTGCTCGGAGGTGGGTAGGCGTTGAATCCAAGGATGGTGTTCAGCGGCAGGTAGGGGTGGAGACAAGGAAGGGTGCATGGAGGTGGGTAGGGGGGTGAAACCACGGATGGTGTTTGGTGGCAGGTAGGAGTGGAGACAAGGGAGGGTGCTCGGAGGTGGGTAGGGGGTGAAACCAATGATGGTGTTCGGCGGCAGGTAGGGGTGGAGACAAGGAAGGGTGCTCGGAGGTGGGTAGGGGGTGAAACCAATGATGGTGTTCAGCCACAGGTAGGGGTGGAGACAAGGGAGGGTGCTCAGAAGTGGGCAGGCGGTGAATCCAATGATGGTGTTCGGCAGAAGGTAGGGTTGGAGACAAGGAAGGGTGCTCGGAGGTGGGTAGGGAGTGAAACCAATGATGGTGTTTGGTAGCAGGTAGGGGTGGAGACAAGGGAGGGTGCTCAGAGGTGGGTAGGGGGTGAAACCAATTATGGTGTTCGGTGGCAGGTAGGGGTGGAGACAAGGGAGGGTGCTCGGAGGTGGGTAGGCGGTGAATCCAAGGATGGTGTTCGGTGGCAGGTAGGGGTGGAGACAAGGAAGGGTGCTCGGAGGTGGGTAGGCGGTGAATCCAAGGATGGTGTTCGGTGGCAGGTAGGGGTGGAGACAAGGAAGGGTGCTCGGAGGTGGGTAGGCGGTGAATCCAAGGATGGTGTTTGTCAGCAAGTAGGGGTGGAGACAAGGGAAGGTGCTCAGAGGTGGGTAGAGGGTAAAACCAATGATGGTGTTTGGTGGCAGGTAGGGGTGGGGACAAGGGAGGGTGCTTGGAGGAGGGTGGGGGGTGAAACCAATGATGGTGCATGGCGGTAGGTAGGGGTGGAGACAAGAGATGACTCGGGGGAGAACAAAAGATAAAAACAATGAAAACAAGTATTTAAAAAAAATTGACAATGATATGTAGCGATTTAGCAAATTAAATATCATTCAGAGTTAATTTTGAAAAGATACAAATGAAGGAAAATATATCTGAGATTTATACTGTATTGTCAGTGCATTTATCATTGACCCCTTACTCTGAATCTCTTACCTATCTCCAACAACACCTTCATTCTGAGCACACTTAGTTTATAAAGAAAAGATAAATCCAAAATACCGTGCCCCGCCCCCCTCACTTTGGACTCCTTGAGTTGGCTGTGATCCCAGAATTCTTACTCTCTAACGTGACGTGACTTTGGAATGTTCGGTTTGAGAAATTAATCCAGAACAACGGTTCCCTTTGTGAGCCGGCTCGAGGACTCCTGAGCGGGTTAGATAGTTCCCTTAGGTAGCTATTTCCAAACTAATGTTTCGATGCCCTTTGTTTGTGTGCAATCCCTTCACAAAGGCGCAGTGACAGAGTGCTGGAAAAGTAGCACGCCGTCTATGAAGGTTCGTAAGAAAAAAAAAAAAAAACACTGCGGAGGACGAGGGAACAAAATAACTTTCTGCTGGTCCCCTATAGGGAAACAATTTTGGAACAGTGCTGGCTGCTGGGGGCTATATATAAATACAGACTCCCCTGATCCTGCATTTATTCTAAAGATAACTGGTCACAATTGGGCTTTGGTTAAAAAGATTTATATTTGTTTTTAAAGATTAACTCCGGGTAAACATATGAGGGAGCTATTTAACCCACAAAATAATTTGTATTTCTGCCCACCAGTTTGAGATTTACACTGCTCTGCCATAGAGCACAGCTTAGTCTGGCAGGACAGGAGACCTGATTTTTTTTCCCTGCTACAGTTCAGTAACACTTACAGGTCATGCCCCTCCCTTGATCTGTGATTGGACAGTGGAAGGAGAAACAGTAGACTGACAAGCTCATCTCTCTTAAAAATAGATTAAAAGATGTAATCTATTGCGGTTTACCAATTCTTAGATGTGGTGGCTGGCTGCATTCGTTTTTATTTTAGTCTTCCTTCCCTTTATTCTCACCTGGTGATTCTACCAGTAAGGGCTCTTTCACACGGGCAGCAAGAAGACAGTAAAAAACAGGTGGATGAGTTGCAGTTTTACCTCCTCCTGGCTGGCCATCAGAATACTAATATTTCAGGGCTGCACATATCCCGCATAGGCTGCATAATCTGACAGGTGGCACTGCCTGTAAAAACTCACCTCCTGAGTTCAATGGGAATGCACTGCAACCAGGAGCCAAATTCTTAGCTTGCAGCTATGGTGCAATTTTTGCACCCCTCCCCCCTGCGTGCCCCCGGGTCATGCATCAGGCATGGTCTGTGTTCGCTGTGTCCTATGGATACAGCTGATCACAAATCACGGTAAAGGGCCAATCACAGCAGCCCTTTAACATGTGATCAGCTGTGTCCAATCACAGCTGATCATATGTACACAAATGCTGGTTATCTGCATTTTCTTTCCTCACGCACTGTCGGGCAATCCTGTGTCGACAGCAGGGGCGCACTGACCATTTGGAAACTCGGGCACTGCCCGAGGGCCCGGGGTCAGTAGGGGGCCCCATGAGATACCCCTGGTACCTTTTTCATAGGCTTTTTTGAGTTTGGGCAAGGACACAGGGGCCCCATGATCCCCTATTGCCCGGGGGCCCTATGAGTTGTCAGTCCGCCCCTGGTTGACAGGACACATTTACGGTGCCTTCATTATCAGAGCAGCCCATCATGCAGCCTTTTAGTGCCCATCAGTGGCACTTCATCAGAGCACATCAGGAAGAAGAAAAATTATTTATTTGCAAAATGTTATAACAGAAACTAAGAAAATTATATTTTCTTTAAATTTCGATACAGTTGGTTACAGTGTTGCATGACCGTGCAATTGTCGTTAAAAGTGTGACAGCGCTGAAAGCTGAAAATTGGCCTGAGCAGAAAGGGGGTGAAAGTGCCTGGTATTGAAGTGGTTAATGCATAGAATGCATTAAAGTGTTACTAAACCCCCAGCAGTAAAATCAGTCTGTATATGCAGTAAAGCATGCTTGTTATACTCACTGTGGAACCTAAGGGGTTAATCCTCTGCATTGTGTAAAAAAGGATGTTTGATCCTGTCTTCTCTGATCCTCCACTTCTTCCAAGTTCCCCATTTCATCTCCTGATAGAATGCAGCCTTGGGGACACTACGCACATGCTCAGTTTGGTGTATATTGCTAGAGAGTTTTTTTTTTCTTTGGGAGGGTGCATGTGATCAACACAGGTCCAATCAGCACTGTCCAGGCAGAGCGTCAGGGGTCCTGCAGCCTCATAGGACAATCAGGAGAGAATGAAAACTCCTCTTACAAGCTTTAACTAGTGCTCTGCTGGACACTGATAGAAGTCACAAGACTGCTCTAACAGCTGATAAGAAAAGGTATTTAGCAGTTTGTATTTACTAAAATAATTTCATTTCCATAATCTGTGTACTGTGGGAGAGCAGATATAGTGAATGCAGGGTCCGGGGAGAGCGGATATAGTGAATGCAGGGTCCGGGGGAGAGCGGATATAGTGAATGCAGGGTCCAGGGAGAGCAGATATAGTGAATGCAGGGTCCGAGGAGACCATATAGTATGCAGGGTCCGAGGATGCAGATATAGGTGCCTGGGTTTGGTAACACTTTAAGGTAAAACACCTTCTGCCTTTATAATCACTTCAAGATAGAAAACTAAAGCAGACAACACATCTAAGGACTGGTAAGGTGCAATGTCTTACATGTCTCTTCTCGAGTTTAAACTAATTTAACATTATAACATTACACGCTGTATAACTGAAGCTAAGTCCACATTAAAGTAGAACTAAAGCAAAACTTTATGTTCACTTTGGATGGAGTATGGGAGGATTATAATGAGGACATTTCTTCTCAGAGAATAGGTGTAGAAATCACCCCACCCCCATTAGGTCACATTTGTTCCAGCCCCCTACCCACCACCTAGCACTGCCCCCTGTTTCCATCCCTACCCTCCTCCTAACACCACATCCTTTTAAAGTATAGATTTTTAAATAAAGAATATTTAAATAATCTCTCAACAGCAAATTCCCTGGCAGCAACAATGGACCCCCCAACAACAACAATACATCCCCAACAGCAACAATAAATCTTCCAACAGTAACAATAAATTTTACAGTAGTAATAATAAATCTCCCAACAGCAAAAATAATTCCCTCAACAGTAACAATAAATCCCCCAACAGCAAAAATAAATACCCCAATAGTAACAATAAATACCCCAACAGTAAAATAAGTTCCACAGCAGTAATAACTATTCCCCCAATAGTCACATTAATATACCCAACAGTAACACTGTGGTTCCACAGCAGTAACAATAAATCCCTCAAAGCAACAATAAATCCCCCAACAGTAACAATATGTTCAACAACAGTAACAATAAGTTCCACAGCAGTAACAATTATTCCCCCAATAGTAACATTAATATACCCAACAGTAACACAGGGGCTCCACAGCAGTATCAATAAATCCCCCAACAGTAACAATAAATCTCCCAAAGCAACAATAAATCCCCCAAAAGTAACAATAAGTTCCACAGCAGTAACAACTATTCTCCCAATAGTCACATTAATATACCCAACAGTAACAGAGGGGCTCCACAGCAGTAACAATAAATCCCCCAGCAGTAAAAGTATGGAACGAGCAGTGTGGAATAGAATCTACAGCTTGGCACATGGGATTAGCGTGGACCAAGGAACATACAGCATGGACTATAGCGTGCACTCACGGAAATAATTATTAGAATGATCGTTGCCTATTCAGACCTCCATCAGCGGACCTACCTCTGATTATAGTGACAGCTCAGCCTGTCGGTCTTCTGGAGAAGAGGATTTATTAGCCCCTTTACCCCCCCCTGGTCACATCAATGCTGATTTTGAAATTGTACAACTTACAGTGAAGTTGCACGATTTCAAAATCGGGTGACTTGCCGATTTCATGGTGATTTGCAAGACGTCTGACATCTGATGTCTATGCAAATCGCAGCAGACGTAGTGCATGTACTACTTTAGAAGTTGGTGCGGCTCCGACCAAGTCAGAACCGCACCGATATGACCGCTCTAATAGCGCACAATAGGGTGTGATGACTTGGCATACGATTTGCAAGTCGCATTGCATACAAATCACATGCCAAGTCGTACCCGATGTAACCGGGGGCTTAGTTGGGCTATGTCCCATTCAAACCTGTCAGGACAGGAAATGAGGGGAGATTCCTGCAAAAGGAAACGCAAGCAAAAACAAAAGCGCAATTTTAGTAAAGTGGAGAAAGGATAAAACTTCATGTTTTTATTGCTGTCTGTGTCTTCCTGTCCCAGAAATAGCAATACTCCTGTATTCGTCATTTGGGAGTTACTAGAACAGGAAGAGAGGGAAAATTTCCCTAACGGGGTCATAGATATACTGTAAACACCTATGCATAAATATGTACGATAATGTAAATATATTTGTATTTGTATTATGAAGTTGGTCAGTATAAAGGGCAGTTATATGGAGGAATTTTTCAGGCAATTAGGAACCTTCTGCAGCTATGTAGTCTCGGTACCTCCAGCACCCTTAGTCATATAGAGGGCACGGTGCTGTTCAAATGCGGGCCGCCAGAGGGCGCGCCGCACAGCCCTTCCCTCACAACGGCGCTCCTTCCCACCACAGAGTATGCCGCGGCCCGGAAGTGTTCGCTGCTCGAACTCGGCGGTCAACACCGATTGGACGGAGGTCAAAGCGGCAGCCAATGAGCTGCACGGATGGCGGGGATGTGGAATGCTGATGTGTGATCCCGGCTTCCGGCCTCCCAGTCATCCATCCATAGGGGAGAGAAATTAGACACCATGCCGTACTACCGAGCCTGGGAGGAGTTCACCCGGGCCGCTGAGAAGCTCTACCAGGCTGACCCTATGAAGGTGAGGAGGGGGGCGGGGCTGTGCATCTCCATGGTAGCAGCTGGCTGTGTGACATCTTGGTGAGGCTGGGACTTCTAGTTCTGTACACAGACCGGCTTTACTCCCAGAACAGGCCTTAGTGTGGTTTTTGTATTCAGGGGGACTAAAACTCCCAGCATTTCTATCTATACTATATCCTGGATAAGCTGGGGCTTCTAGTTCTCTACACAGACAGGCTGGGCTTCCAGTATAGGCCTGTGTATCCAGAGGGACTACAACTCCCAGCAGCTCTGTGTGTTATCCTGGTGAGGCTGGGACTTGTACTTCTCTATACTTCAGGCTGTGCCTCTATTACAAGTCCCACTATGCCCTGTGTATCCAGATGGACTACAACTCCCAGCACCTACCTGTTATTTCCTGGTGGGGCTGGGATTTGTAGTTCTCCAAGCAGGCTGTGATTTCATTACAGGCTTCAGCATGCCCTGTGTATGCAGAGAGACTACAACTCCCAGCATGCCTGTTTATATCAGGTCCTGGGGCTTGTAGTTCTCTGTACTACAGGCTGTGCTTCCCTTACAAGTCCCAGTATGCTCTGTGTATTCAGAGGGACTACAACTCCTAGCAGCCCTGCCTTTTGGGAACTTGTGAGGCTGGGATTTGTAGTTCTGTCCACTGGCAGACATGGTCTCCATAGCAGGCCCCAGTATGATCTGTATACCACAGGGACTACAACTCCCAGCAGCTGCCTGTACCTTGGTGAGACTGGGGCTTGTAGTTCTGCAGGGTGTACCTTCATTTAACTCCCAGTATGCTCTGTTTCCAGAGGGACTACAATACCTAGCATTCCCGTGTTTATCATGTCCTGGGACTTTTATTTCCCCATACCACAGGCTGTGCTTTCATTACAAGCCCCAGTACACTCTGTGTATTCATAGGGACAACAGCTCCCAGCAGTCCTGTCTTTTGGAAGCTTTGACTTGTAGTTCTGTATACTGGCAGACATAGCTTCCATGGCAGGCCCCAGAATGCCGTGTATATCCAGAGGGACTACAACTCCCAACATTCCCATTTATATCAGGTCCGGGAAGTTCAATATTTTACAGGGTTTACTTCCCTCATAGGTCCCAGAATGCCCACTGTATTGAGAGGGACTACAGCTCCCAGCAGCCCTGCTTGTGGAAGCTGGTGAGGCTGGAATTTGTAGTTCTGTACATTGGCAGACATAGCTTCTATGGCAGACTCCAGTACGACTTGTGTATCCAGAAGGACTACAACTCCCAGCAGCCCTGCTTGTGGAAGCTGGTGAGGCTGGGACTTGTAGTTCTGTACATTGGCAGACATAGCTTCCATGGCAGACTCCAGTATGACTTGTGTATCCAGAAGGACTACAACTCCCAGCAGCCCTGCTTGTGGAAGCTGGTGAGGCTGGGACTTGTAGTTCTGTACATAGGCAGACATAGCTTCCATGGCAGGCCCCAGAATGACTTGTGTATCCAGAAGAACTACAACTCCCAGCAGCTGTGTGTGTGTTATATCCTGGTTAGACTGGAGGTTAGTTCTACATACTGCAGGCTGTGTTTGTAATACATACCCCAGTATTCCCTGTGTACCCAAGGGACTACAAATCCCAGCAACCCTGATTATATATTAACCTGGTCTTCAGAGCATGGTGTTCCACACAGAAAGCTTCATATCAAATTTAGAAAAATAAGCCCTTGTAATCACACCAAAAGGAGCTGCAATATATATATATCCTTCTACAAGCCTTGTTAAAAAAAAAACACTTTAGCCTTTAATATCACTTAAGGCTCTATTCACTCTTCTGCGACTTGTCATGTGACTTTGGAAACATGTGGTGTG